TTAAGTTTCTCAGGCAGAGGAATACCGTGGTCAGATTTGTTTGACAATGATGAATTTGGTAGCTGTATGGATAGATTTGAGGACAAAACCAAAAAGCTTGGAGTCCTATTAGAATGATCTTTCATTCAGTTCAGCTTTGATCAGCTAGAGATGATGAGGGCCAGAAGCAGGTAAGCTTTGTGAGTAGAATAAAAGCTACATATCTGAATAATATTGTTGAGATACAGTCAACAATACCTAACAAATGTTTGAATTGGGGGGAGGGGAAGGGAGGAGAAGAAAGAGAAGAAAAGTGAAGACCAGAGGTTTCAAACTCATGAGTAATTTAATGTATGTTGTCAATATCTTAACAGTTCTTCAAGGTTTGGTTCTAATGCCAAAATCTGCTTTAAATTTGCCAAAATTTTTTCCAACTAGATGCTTTGTGCTCCATTGTATATCTTTTGTATTCTTAAGGCATTACCTCTAACTATTTCACACTGTAGCTATTTGTGTGCTTGTCTTATCTGCTTTCCAGTATATAAGCTCTGGGGGCAAGAACTTTGGCTTCCTCATCTTTTAATCCCTTACAGTGCTTAGCAAAGTGTTTTTAAATATTTATAGAAGCAAACTGAATTGAATTGGCCTCCCTAGTGCTCGACTATTCTTCCTGAACATACTTGGATTAATCTTCCTAAAGTGCAATTTTTTATCATATCTGTATTTTTTTTTGGTGTGTGAAATGTTTCAATACTTTATCATACCTACAGAATAAAGTCCAAATTTCCTCTATTGTTTGGATTTCAACTGCCAAGTATAAGTAACTGAAGTGGGTATTGCTATAGGTCCCTCTTTCTGACATCACTCTAATCTTGTTAGTTTGAGTTTTGATGCAGTACTTAACCCTATAGAAGAATTTTGCTTCTCATCGCAGCATATTTTTAACATAATGATTTATGAATGCTCAGAAAGGGAGACAATGATCAGTGAAAGTCAACATGAGTTCAGCAAAGATTCATAATGCCAGACTAATTTCATTTGTCGCTTTGATAGAATGACTAGATCAATGGGAAAGGCAAATCCTATTGATATAGCATATCTTATGGGACAAGAATGTAGTGATTTATCATTGTACTGCAAGGAATGATGAAGATAAATTAAGAGACAAATTAAACCTGGAAAGACTTGTATGATCTGATGCTGAGTGAAGTGAGCAGAACCAGGAGAACATGGTACACAATAACAGCCATGTTGTGCGATGACTAATATTGATGGACTTAACCCTTCTCAGCAATACAAGGATCTAAGAAATCTCCAAAGGCCTCATGATGGAAAATGCTATACGCATCCAAAGAAAGAACTATGGAGTTTGAATGTAGATCGAAGCAAACTAGTTGCTATCTTTTTTTCTTCTGTTGTGTTCTGTTTCCTCTTTCTGGTGGTTCCTCCTAATTGGTTCTAATTACAACATCGCTAATGTGAAAATATGTTTAATAGGAATGTATATGCATAGCTTATAATATATTGGACACCATCTTGGGGAGGGAGAAAACTTTAAAACTCAAAAGCTTATGGAAGTGATTGTTGATAAATCAAAATAATTAATTAAAAGAATTATATTAAAAAAAGGGATTAGAGGGCATATAAAAGTATTCAAAGTGAACTAAGTACAACCATGATAATAATATAATAACAATAGCTGACTTTATATAATGCTTTAAATTCTACCTTTACACACTTTTTTTTCCATTTTATCCTTGTATCAGCCTCTAAGCTAGATACTATCATTACTCCTATTTTGTAGATCAGGAAACTGAGACTGAATGACTTTAAATGATTTACTTAGGGTGACAGTAAGTTAGCAAATTTCTGAGACAGGATTTGAATTCAAGTCTTCTTGAATTCTAGTTCTCTTTATACTCTTCCTAGCTACACTATTGACTAAAACATTGCAAATTGAAAGAATAATTATAACAAAAATAAAATTGAAAAATGTTAAATTATAATGGCCCTAAAGAAGAGATTAAAAAAAACCAAAATGTCCTTTCCTCCCTTTTTTGTGGTGTTGGAGGAAAATGAGTGTGGAATATTTTATAAACTATCAGACTGGGTATGATAAGTTGATTGCTTTTTCTGAATTGCTTTTCTTTTATTATTTTTATTCTTTTTAAAATGAAGAATTTCTCAGTGGACAGCAATACATTCAGAAATCATAATTATGTAAAAATAAAAGATAGAAATAAAAAGTAATTTTAAAACCACTGTGCTAGGGTTTAGCAGAGACATACAACAAAGTTTCCCCAGATGTCATTGTGGACAAGATACAGAATTTATAAGCAAGCACAAAATGGACTTTTATCATCTTTTCTAATTTTCCAGTGAGAATTGAAGCCTCAGAGTTGTTTTTATTTAAATTTCTCTTATTATTAGAGATTAGTAGTGTTAGGGGAGAAATATCTTCTCTCTGGATTAACGTGGTGGGTAAGTGCTGGCAAATCTGTATTTACCACAATACAGAAATTATGAAGGAAAAACCCTAGGTCTTGTTATTATGCTCAAGCATAAGTTCAAGCCCCACAGAAAACCGGAACAATTATGAAGATTCTGCCAAAGTGTCTTATAAGAAAAATTACTTCAGAGTGATACTGAAATAATTCATTTATATGTTGTAATCCTGTACAATCTTCTTAGGCTATAAAAGTTAGAGAGGAGATAGCTGTATTATCCTCTTCTTCCTTCGTGTTATGAAAGTTAAACAGACTTAATTAAACAGTCATAATATCACACATCCCATAAAGAGAAAAAAAAACTTCATCAAATAAACTCTATAGGTAAAACCAAGTCAGGTTACAGATTAAACTACATTTAGAGGCTTCACAATAGGTTGATTGAGGAGGAGGATTTACATGTCACATAGGAGTCAGGGATAGTTAAGAGTATTGCTCTAACTCCTTTTCTAAAGAATGCTTAAGACTGTAAGTAAAATTTTATATGCTGTGGGACAGGTTTTGGTCTGGGTATATTAATATTAACCAAAAGATGCAGGAGGAATGCCCCTGAATACTAATAATAAAAGGAAAATTTAAAAAAAAATCCCATAACAGGATTTGAACATGATTTGAAGTTCTTATTCTGAAAATTTTATTCCTATCTTTGGACCACTATCTATTTAGAAATGGCTCTTGATTTTCTACCTTTGTGTTGATTCTCTCTATATAGTAGTTTTGGCTATCAGATCTCCATCAGAGATATTTGCCTCTAATATTCTTGTTTTCAAATTGAAAGAAATCTATTCTTTTTAAATCAGGCAACACTGATTCTTTTTTGTGCAAAAGCTTCTGAATTTTATGTAATCAAAGCTATCTAGTTAGTATGTTGTAATTTCCTTCATCCCATTCTTTTGCTGAGTTCTCCCTTTTCCCAAACCAAATCATTTATATTTCTTTACCATGGAAAGTTTTTATCTGTACTTTAACTAAAAATGAGATTTCAACTCCTATTTAAAAAAAATCAGTCTATGTGTTGTCAAATTTGATAAAGCCTTTCATTTCATTATGTGTGTGTATTTTTAGGTTTCTTTGTAAGCAGTAAATTGTTGGAATTTGTTTCCTTATTCACTCTGATTTTGTTTCATTATTAGATTGTTGAATACATTCACATTTAAGGTTATGATCATTAGATTTTTGTTTTCTTTTTTCTGTTCCTTTTCTACTGATTTTTGTCCTTTCTTAAGTTGACACTTTGTCAAGATTATTAGGTTTGTTTACTTTAACTTCTGTTCCCAGAGATTTTCCCCATCTTTATTTGCATTTACCTGAAAAATTAAAAGTTCTTTGAATTTTTCATTTCTTTTTCTTACATTTAACTCATTTAAAATTACATTCCAATTCTCCATCCAGATAAGAAATTGGTTCAACCATTCCACATCTCAGCCTCAATAACATTTTGAGTGATACTTTTTCAAGAGTTTTTTTTTTAATTTACTGTCTCCTCATTTTTTACCTCCCTAGTTCTGATTTTTGTGTTTTCATTTATGGTCTATATATCCTTACTTATTTTTTTCTTTATTCTCTTCTTGTCTCTCATTATAGGTGGAACTTTTGAAGTAACAACAACAACAACAACAATATTAATAATTCACCTGTGATCTCATTTAAACCTCATAACTCTGCAAAGTTGGTACTATTATAATCTCCATTTTATAGATCAAGAAACTGTGACTAAGAGAGGTTTAAGTGCTTTATTCAGGGTCACATGGCTAAAAAATGTCTAAGGCAGGATTCAAAATCATGTCTTCTTGGCTTCAAATCCAAGAATAATTATCTCCCCTACACCTCTAGAGTACCAAATATCAAATACAGAAAGCACCCTCCTCAGTCCCATTTTTGTGTTACTATATTTGTAAATCATACACCAATGTTCATGTTCCTTGCTTGCTTGTTTGTCATTTGGGGTGGTACCTTCTTTGGTAACTCATGGAAATATCAATTCATGAAAGAGGCCCCAAAATATGATAGGAATCACTACTTACCCCAAATCACGAGATTTAGTTCACTTTCTGCTCTTATCACAGCCAGTTAGTTACTTCCCATAAAGACAATGTATCTTAGCTCTGAAATAATTTACCTCTACCAGAGATGGCCATCTCTCTTGGAGCTCTATCCTTTCTTTTTCCTGATATGAAATGTAGTCCTGGGGATGAGTAGGAGCTCCTCTGTAAGGTCCATTGCCTCCAGAAGTAACTCACTATAGGGCCTCTTTCTTTCATCCCTCCCCAGTAACCACCATAGGAGTTTTCTATGTGAGCTTCCTTTCAATTTTCCTTCTAGGGTGAGGTTTATTTCTCATTTCTGGCTTTTCCATCCACTCCCAGTGGCTTTACATCTAGTTGAGAGTCTGCCATCAGGTTCCCCAATCAATAGTCAACTATTTTTTACATATAAAGATAGAGTCCTTTTTATTTCCTCTAGTGTTTGTCTTCTTCCCAGTGACTTCCAACTTATTTTGTTAAAAAAAAAAAGATTCTTTTTTACCCCAAACCATTCCTGAATGGACTGACAGGGAAGCCGGTGATGGTGAAGCTTAAGTGGGGAATGGAGTACAAAGGTTACCTGGTCTCTGGATGGCTACATGAACATGCAACTTGCAAATACAGAAGAATACATAGATGGGGCATTGTCTGGACACCTTGGTGAAGTTTTAATAAGGTGCAATAATGTCCTTTACATCCGAGGTGTCGAAGAAGAGGAAGAAGATGGGGAAATGAGAGAATAACATCTTTTCTGGGGTGGGGTGGGGTAGGGATTTCTTTTGTATATTTCTAGAATCTAGAAAATCTCAGGATTGAGGCATTTAAGTGCTATAGAAGTTTTTGGATTCTTTCATTTCTTAATTTTGAACTCAATTTTGCAGAATACTTTCCATTATTTTTCTCCTTTTTGCCCAACTTCACATTGAAATCACCAAACATCAAAGTATATGTTAACTTTGTAGGATTTTATCTTCATTTTTGCAGAAATCTTCTAATTATTGAAGCTGTGTGACAGATGCTTGTACACAAACTACAGTTATGATCATGAGTATTTGTCTACTTACTTATTAAGGACGCTGCAGATTAAGATATTCAAGAACCCCATAATATTTTATTGTCCTTGTACATATAATGAAATAGCCCCTGCCTCCTTATTTCCATAGCTGTCTGAAAAGAACCTGTGAGCCATACTTAATTTTGCTGTCACTTCTTTATAACTTCAGGAGGTAGTGTGATTTAGAGGAAAAGGCAATATCTTGATGTCAGAAGGATCTCTGTTCAAAATACATCATCTCTACTTACTAACTAAAAGTGTAAGGTCAGATCACTTAATTTTTTTAAGTCTCAGCTTCCCCTATTATTAAATGGGAATAATAATACTTGCTCTATTTACATGTAAAAGTACTTTGCAAACACTGAAGCACTATAAGCTTTGCTCTGTCATCACTTCCCTTCTCTTTGTACATTCTCTGTTTTGGTGATCTCATCAGCTCTATGAGGTTTACTTGTCTCTATGCAAAAAACTCCCAGCTCCAGCTCTAGTTCTCCTGACCTCCAGTCCTGCATTACCAAATGCCTTTTTAGTAGTTCAAGCTAGATGTCCCAGAAACATCTTAACTAGACACACCTAAAATAGATCTCATTTTCCTTTTTTCCCAATCCCTCTCTTTCTATTTTTTTTCAGAGCACCACCATTCTTCCACTTTCTCAAATTCTAAATCTTGGTATTAATGTTGACACATTCTCTTTTCCCATATTTCCAACCAATTATCAAATTCCCAAAATCTCTTTCATGTTTTCCCCTTCTCACCGCTGACATAGTGACTATCCCAATTTAGGACCTTATAACTTTTTGCCTGGACTATTGTATTGTATTGTATTGTATTGTTTTGTATTGTGTCATATTGTGTTGTGTTGCATTGTGTCATATTGTGTTGTGTTGTATGGTGTTGTATAAGTGTTTTGTTTCATAATACAAAATTTCCAGATTAGCACCACCCAGTGAGATTTCTTCTGCAACAAAGTAAAACAATTAAGCAAGAACAAAAGTGTGGTGACCTCTTCTGAAAGTGCATGCAGCATTCCACAGATGTAGTCCTCCCAATATCTCTCTTTTTAAATGCTTTTAAAATTTTTTTTTTGGCAGAAATCTATTTTCTTATATTCCCCAACCCATTGAGGAAAAAAATAAGAAAATAAAAAACAACTAAATCCCTTATAACAAATATACATTATTGCAATGGCCTACTAGTTGGTCTTCCGCCTCAAGTCTCTCCCTGTTCCACTCTGTTCTTTTCCTTAAGTTCTTGCCTTAGCACGTCTCCTGTCATCTTAATAAGCTTCATTGATTTTCTATTACCTCTAGGACCAAATTCAAGCTCTTTTGTTGGGCAACTAAAGTCATCCACAACATATCCCTTTCCTTCATTTCTCTTCTTATATTGTATTCCCCTTCTCCCATTCTATGATTCAGTTCCTCTGACTTAATATTCTTAATACATGACACTCCTCCTGACATTTATGCCGTTGCAGTCAGTCAATAAGTCTATATTAAGTACTTACTATATGTCAGGAACTATGTTAAGCACTTAGGATGACAAGTTCCTGCTCTTGAGGAGTTCAGAGTTAATAGGGAGACAACATGTAAGCAACTGCATAAAGATAAGATATATGACAAATAGGAGATAAAGAAAATAAGGGACTAGCAATAAAGGGGATCAGGAAAGACTTCTTGAAGAAGGCAAGATTTTAGCAAGAAATGAAGGAAGCTAAAATAATAAATAGCATCTACCTAAAACCTTCAGCAAACATCATATGTAATGGGGACAAGCTAGAAGTATTTCCAATAAGATTGGGGGTGAAACAAGGATGTCCATTATCACCACTGTTGTTCAATATCATACTGGAAACTTTAGCTTTAGAAATAAGAGAAGAAAAATAAATTGAAGGTATTAGAATAGGCAAAGAAAAAACAAAGCTATATCACTCTTTGCAGATGATATGATGATATACTTAGAGAATCCTAGAGAATCAAGTAAAAAACTACTTGAAATAATAAACAACTTTATTAGAGTTGTAAGTTATAAAATAAACCCACATAAATCATTGTCATTCCATATATTACCAACAAAGCCCAACAGCAAGAGATAGAAAGAGAAATTACATTTAAACTTACTGTAGACATTATAAAATATTTAGGAGTCTACCTGCCAAAACAAACCCAGGAACTCTATGAACACAATTACAAAACACAAATAAAGTCAGATCTAAATAACTGGAAAAACATCAGTTGCTCATGGGTAAGCTGAGCTAATATATTAAAAATGACATTTCTGCATAAGCTAATTTACTTATTCAGTGCTATACCAATCAAACTACTAAAAATAATTTTATGGAGTTAGAAAAAATAATAGCAAGATTCATTTGGAAGAACAAAAGTTCCAGAATATCAAGGGAACTAATGAAAAGAAATGCAGGGTAAGGTGGCCTAGACATTCCAGATCTTTAATTGTATTATAAAGCAGCAATCATCAAAACTGCTTGGTGCTAGCTAAGAAGTAGAGTGGTGGATCAGTGGAATAGGTTAAGTATGCAAGAAACAGTAGTCAATGACTATACTAATATATTTTTTGATAAACCCAAAGACCCCAGCTTCTGGGACAAGAACTCACTCTCTGACAAAAACTACTGGGAAAACTGGAAAAGAGTATGCCAGAAATTAGGCATAGACCAAAATCTCACACCATATACCAAATAAAATAAAAATCGCTTCATGATTTAGATATAAAGGCTGATACTATAAGCAAACTAGGAGAACAAGGAATAGTTTACTTATCAGATTTATGGAGAACAGAAGAATTCATGACCAAACAGGAGACAGAGAACATTACAAAATGCAAAATGGATAACTTTGATTACATTAAATTGAAAAGTTTTTTGCACAAACAAAGACAATGCAAACAAGATTAAAAGAAAAGTAGAAAATTGGGAAAGAATTTTTTGCAACCAGTGTCTCTGATAATGGCCTCATTTCTAAAATAAATAGAGAATTAAGTCAAATTTATAAGAATATATGTCATTCTCCAATTGATAAATGGTCAAAGCATATGAACAGGCAGTTCTCAGATGAAGAAATTAGAGCTCTCTATAGTCATATGAAAAAATGCTCTAAATCACTATTGATTAGAACTCTGAGGTACCACATCACACCTATCAGATTGGCCAACATGACAGAACAGGAAAATGATAAATGTTGGAGAAGATGTGGGAAAATTGGAACACCAATGCATTGTTGATGGAGTTGTGAAATGATTCAACCATTTTGGAGAGCAATTTGGAACTATGCCCAAAGGGCTATAAAATGTGCCTACCCTTTGACCCAGAAATATCACTTCTAGGGCCATATCCCAAAGAAATCATACAAATGGGAAAAAGGACCCACATGTACAAAAATATTCATAGCAGCTCTTTTTGTGATGGCAAAGAATTGGAAATTGATGGAATGCCCATCAATTGGGGAATGGCTGAACAAGTTGTGGTATATGAATGTAATGGAATACTATTGTGCTATAAGAAATGATTAACAGGCAGACTTCAGAAAAACTTGGAAAGACTTGTATGGTCTGATGCTGAGTGAAGTGAGCAGAACCAGGAGAACATTGTACACAGTAACAGCCACATTGTGCAATGACTAATACTGACAGACTTAACCCTTCTCAGCAATTCAAGGATCTAAGACCTCTCCAAAGACCTCATGATGGAAAATCCTATCCGCACCCAACAAAAGCACTATGGAGTTTGAATGCAGATTGAAACATACTCTTTGGTATTTTTTTTCTTCTGTTGTGTTTTGTTTCCTGTTTGTGGTGGTTCCTCCTCTTGGTTCAAATTCTTACTTACTACATCACTAATATGAAAAATGTTGAATAGGAATGTATATGTATAGCCTATATCAGATTGTGTGCCATTTTGAGAAAGGAGGTGAGGAGGGAGGGGGAGAAAAATTTAAAACTCAAAAGCTTCTGGAAGTGATTGTTGATAAATCAAAATAAATTAATGAAGTTAAAAATTTTTTAAAAATCCTTCACAAAAAAAGAAAAATGAAGGAAGCAAGGGAAACCAGGAGGCCAAGATAAGAAGAGAGAAAATTCCAGGTATGAGGAGCAGCAAGTGAAAATGTATAAGAAAATATATTTCTGTTAGCCAAAACAAAAACATTAAAAAAGAGAGAGGCTGAGAGGACTACAGGTGTAGAATGCTCTATGCAATTTCAGAAGCGGTCACTACATCTTGGTTCTTCTTAATTATTTTACCTTGTTGCAGAAGAAATCTCACAGAGTGGTGCTAATCTGGAAATTTTGTAATATAGAAACAAAACACTTCAATACAATATGACACAATTCAAATCAATTCCCCCTTCATAATTTCTTACAGCACAATAGTGTTACATCACAATCATATATCATAACTTGTTCAGTCATTCTCCAGTTGATGGACATCCCTTCAAATTCCAACTCATTACCACCACAAAAATAGCTGTTATAAATACTTTTTGTACATACAAGATGTGTTGCTTTTTCTTTGATCTCTTTGGGACACAGACCTAACAGCTGTATTGCTGTTCAGATGGTATTCATAGATCCCTTTGGGCATAGTTCCAAATTATTCTCTGTAATGGTTGGACCAGTTCACAACTCCATCAACAAGGCATTAGTGTGTTTATTTTTCCATATCCTCTCCAGTATTTGTCATTTTCCTTTTCTGTCATGTTAACCAATCAAATAAGTGTGAGGTGGTATCTTAGAGTTGTCTTAATTTGCATTTCTCTAATTATTTGTGATTTAGAGTATTTTTTTCACATGTGTTTAGATAACTTTGATTTCTTTTTTTCTCTCTAAATTGTCTGCTCATATCCTTTGGCAATTTGTCAATTGGGGGATGGGTTTTATTTTTATAAATTTAACTCAGTTCCTTATATATTTGAGAAATGGAACTTTCATAAGATAAATTTCCTATAATTTTTCCCCAGTTTCCTTTAATTTTAATTTTGTGTAAAACTTTTTTTTAAATTTAACGACATAAAAATTATTCATTTTATGTCCCCCAAATATGGAAAATTGTATGAATTTGTGTGTCATTCTTGCACAGGGGTTATGGTAATCTTCTCTGTATCATGGCAATTTTAGTATAGGTGATGCCAAAACAAAATTATTCTAATATTCTTAAACATCACTTTTATGAGCTCAGTCCCCTACTTAAAAGCCTCCAGAAGCCTAGAATCATTAGGCTAACATTCACAGCTATTCACAAGCTAGCCTTGACCTGCTTTTTTAAAGCTGTCTACTGCTACTTTTGAATATGTGTTGGTCCACTTAGTATACCTCAAACATTCTTAGCTCCATTTTTGTTTTTGGACTGTTCTCTCCACCTAGAATATCTTTTCTCTCCACTTCATGAATCCTTATCACATTATAAGATCCAACTCAATTCCTAACTCTCTTATGAATGTTTCCTATACTACTTCAATCACATTGACTTCTCCCATTATGTTAAGGCCTATTATAGATGCTGGCAGCTGTCTGCTGTGGTCCATCTTACAAATTCAAGATACTCTGATATGTAAAGTATTGAAGGGATGGGGTTTGGAGAGAAGCCCTGAGTGAATATCAACCTGTGTATTGTGCTGAATGTGCTTTAGAATTTGTAGACTGGCTCTGGAGAGTTGAGTTGTCAGAAATTTAAAACATGAAAAAACTTAATGGCACCCTTGTGCTTTTTGGTAACATTGTATTCACTGAGCCTTAAAACTTTAGCCAATCTATAGTTATACATGTCACTGTGGAGTAATAGTCCCTAGGCTTCAGGAAATGTATAGATGAATGTTTCAAAAATACAGCCAAGGTCATAAGAACAGGTATTATAAATACGCAAAATCATATGATGAATAAGATTTCATCTCTCTCTTCTTTTTCTACTTCTTTTCATATCCTCAACCAATTACAGTTTCAGCATCCTAAAGTGTATATCTGGGATCAAAGGTAACACACACTACCAGGCTCCATTACTAATCACTGCCCTAAAATCATTTTAAACCAAGAAACTGAGGGAGTATCCTTAGCAAATTCAGATGTAGGGACTGTTTGGTATTTAAAAAAATACATACGGAGCTATCTTTGGTGCTGCATTTCCATTAGCTTATTTGACACCATAGGAGCCTGTTCAGACAGTCAGTTGGGGCCAACCTCAAAATGCTGATCTGATAGTGTCATAAAAGGAACGCTGATTCTGAAAATGAGAGAATCTGGGTAAAATTTTGACCTGAAATGACATATATGACCTCAACAAAAGCCACTTAATTTCACTGGGCTTCAGATTACTGATCTATAAAATGATGGTAGATGAACTGGATCATTTTAAGTTTACTCTAAACCTGTGACTTATATCACCTGCTGTTTCTATAGCTCCTGAAGCCTCGGTAAATATGTATTGTTGCAATGAATTAATTCATTTTATATCTGGAATTTTTCCTCTCTTTTCCTTTTTGGTCACCAACTTACTCCCCCTCCATACTAATAACAAGAACAACAAGAACAACAAAAACATATCATTCATTTAGAGACACATCTGCTACTAAATGTAAGAAGCAAAAGATAAAGTCTGGTCAATTCTTCTTTTCATTTTATGAAAAATCTTACAGATACAAGTAGCCTTGATTTATCCTTCTCTAAACTCCCATGGCATTTCCTAGCTGTAGGAATATAGGAATACTTGTCACTTAATATAATGCTGTGCATTATTTTCCAAATTTTCCTGCATCTATATTTTATCTTTTTAACTAGAAAGGAAATGCTTTTTTTTCCATTTTTTTGGTATCTATGCAGTTTGTCAAAAGCCAAATTATTTTTTAAATAAATGGTATTACAAAGCTAGCATAGAAAAGATAATTTTCACCTAACTGCAGGAAAGGATTCGATCAATCACACTCATGCTTTATATAGATGCGATGTAGAAGATGCAGAAAAATACTTATAGGAGTTAGCCTACCAAACCATGTTTGTCTCAATTCTCTTAATATTTCACAAGAATCTCACAAGAATAAAGTCATGCAATGTTATAATCATTAGTAAGGAATGGGGCAGCTAGCCTGCCCAGTAGGTAAGAATAGCTGGCCTGGAGTCTATAAGACAAGAGTTTACATCTGGTCTTAGATATTTACTAGCTGTGTGACCCAGGAAAGGTCACTTAACCCTGTTTGCCTCAGTTTTCTCATCTGCAAAATGAACTGAGAAGGAAATGGCAAATTAGTCATGTATCTTTGGAATACATCATGTTGTGACTGGACTATTTATTTCATTTCCTGGTTTGGTTACTAAATGATTGTTATTTTGATTGGTAAAACTGAAACATAAGATTTCTAAGTATTCCTATTAAGTCCTTATGACCTACCAACCCATAGTCCCACCATTTTGACTATTAAAGATAATTTGTGAGCATAAGATTTTTAATGAGTCTTAGAGGTCTGTACATTCCTTGTACTGGATTACAAATGATTGGTTCTAAATGATGATATCAAATCTGGGGCCATAAATGTGAGTGACAAACACCCTAATTGGAATGGAAAATAGCTTCCCGTTAGGCATTAATAATAGAGAGGAACTCAAATCAATCAACTAATAAATTATAATCACTATTTCCTTCATTTCTCTCTTTAAAATGAATATTTTTGAGAGAGTCTGTATTTTTACTATTCTTAGATCAATGATGTCAATCTCAAATAAAAAAGGGGGTCAGTAAACCATATATTGGGATCCCTATGGGCCACATATTGACAATTTTATCTATGTTTTCTCATATTTTAAAAAATTTATTATTTCCCAAGGACATTGTAATCTGATTCAGCCAGCACTCAGGAGTGTTATGAGCTACATGTGTACCATGGATAATGTGGAAGCCCAAAATGATGAATATATGCTTTTCTTGAAAACTGTTAATTCCCCAAGGCTATTTTGTTCTTTAATGAAAATGATGATGATTATAATAACAGTCACTGAAATTTGTATGACATTTTAAGATTCCCAAAGTGCTTTAAATATACGTGATCCTCATACCAAACCTGAAAATGAGTTGTTAATATTCCTTTATTGATGAGGAAACCAAGGCTCAAAAAGATTGTAACTGTCTAGGGTCACACACCCAGTACATACCTGAAGAAAGATTTGAATCTAGGTCTTCTGAGCTCTGAGACTAGCACTTTACTCACTTCCCTACCGCTTGCTTAAGAACAATACTCACATGTATTTGCATGCTCTCATGCTCATATATGAATGTAGAGTCTTTCTGTCAAAGTACTTTTGGCACAATATTTTTATAACTAGTTTTAAAACATACAATTATGCAAATGCAGTAAAATATTATTTAGAAAACATCTAAGGGTTCATTGTGAAAGAAACACTGCTTACTTCCTAGAATATTTAATAAGAACTAAAATGTTTCCAAATGGGAAAACATTTAATATTGTGTGTCAGAATAAACAATAACATCCACCTAATTAAAGATCAACCTCAAATTTAATTTACTCTGTGTGGCTATCTAGAAGACTCACTGTTATGAATGAGAGGCTTCTGCTCATTTCTGGTGTTATGCATATATTTCATAGTTATAAATATCTATCTACCATCTAGGAAGTCATTAACCACCAACATAAGCAGCAGGAAAAGAGAGTTTTGGAAGAGGAATGCAATGCCACTGTACAAATAGTTGTCTGAGATGTAAGTACAATTCCACCTGGGAGTTACTTCAAAGCTAAATGTCATCTATTTGTTGGTAGTGTTTCTTGAACTGTGTGTGGGGATTTTCCTTAATCATAATTCTAAAACTTCCACAGGATTAAAAAAAATATTTGAATGGTGATCAAGTAAAGTCATGTTTTTGTAAAAGCAATATTTTGGCCTTCTATCATAAGCAAGTTAGGCAAGTTTGGTGTCATTATGTGTTTTGAAGGGAGGCATAATAGACATGTCTAGTCTCTTTTCCTTCTACCCTTCTCCAAAACAGACTTTATTTCTTGCTAGGAAGGGGAAGCAGGAGGTTGGAGCAGAAGCTTGCCTACTCTGCTTTCCACAGAGAGAGTGGTAGCAGGCTAAAATTGTATCTATCTACTCCCTCAAATATTATTAATCTAGATGATGCACTTTTCAGGTTCAAGCTAATCTGACCAGTGTTTGCTTGTTTTTTGGGGGAGAAGGAGGTCTCAAACTTTATAGCCAAGGCTTTTTCACCAAATACTAGTTCCACAATGAGCACACATAGAAAATAGGAAATAAACCCATTTATCCAAATGGAAGCAAAACAGAAATCTGAAAAGGTGTACATAAAATGATGCATGCCAGACAATACATAGTGAAAGAGCTGTACCACTGGAATTGAGATCAATCAACTGAATTGAAAGAGAGCCCCAAATTTCATGCAACGGGAAATTTCCTGAAGTCTCTAGTTTAACAAGTTGAGTGGAAGGACATGATCAAGATTGGGAGCTCCTCTCATGTCATTTTCTTCCCAGAGTCTTATTTTCACTTTTGTAACCTCAAATAGCATTGTCTTCATGCCTCTTCTCTTTCAAAGCTGGAAGCTAAAAGAACTTGAAGCGACTGCAAAGCCTAAAACTTGAGAGATCTGTAGGGGCTCAAGAGCTTTAAGAGATTGAAAAGATGGAAGCCCTCTTCTCTTTCACAATCTTGACAACTCCATCCTGCCCCTCACATAGGCAAAGGCATTGATCACAATCAATGAAGAAAGAGTCCCAATGGCTTTAGAACTCAGGTTATACTTAAAAGGTATTGAGACATTTCTGGACACTCCAGAGACCAAGAACTCAGACTGTTGTCATCACTTCCTCATCATCTTTGTACAAAGAAGAAATGAGGAGGAAGAGATGAAAGAAAAGCAATGATGAAAAAGTGGGAATATGGAGGGAGGCCTGGGGTTGAGGATGACTCGTTGCTTGGCTAGTGAAACATGATGGGAGATTTACTCAGCTGAATCAACTCAAGGGGTTCTCAATGTCTGTCTTTGTTGAACGGACTTCTCTCGCTATACCTAAATAAATGTTTTTGCTGATTGGTGATACAGGCATCTAATTTCGTTTCATTATGAAACTTGAACTATCTTGGTACTAGCCTGAGTCAGGAAGATCCCAGAACTCTTGCA